TTAGTATGCATTATTTTTTGTGGGCAACAGCGTGCCCTGTGCGTATCTTTTATTTATAATAATAACAATATGATATATATTATATATGTGTAATGTGTATATAAATATTAGATTTTAAATAATTACGTAGGTGCATGTAAATCTTTTATGTTCTACCAAACACTATTTATTGTCACTAACATTTCTGAAACATAGCATTACCTATATTCATAGACACTCATGGACATTTTTCAAAGGTATGTATGAAAAATAATGCTACGTGCATCACATATCTAATTTTAAAAAGCCTCGGTGGTAAGATGTTCATTCGCTCTTTACAGGTGACTGAATATTATATCTTTATGGAGTAAAAATCAATAAATAAAAAGTAAATCATTCGTGATATAATTAAATAATTAATTGTATTAATTCTTTATTTAACTCTGGACTATTTATGATTTGTATTTTATTTTAGAAATAGGTAGATAGTCATTTAAATCAAATCATATTTTACCTAATCAATAACAAAAAAAATAACTATATTATTTAAAACACATTATTGAGTTTACGTATTAGTAACGTACAAAATATAACATTGATTATCATTGATTAAAAAAATAAAATAATCTCAAATTATGCATAGTAGATATGCTTAGAATAATGGATTTTTCTATAAAAATATATTTTGATGTGAATCCTTATATCGCTATATATAACGCTTCTATAGCAATATTATTATTATTTTACTGACCTTTTGAAGATCAATAAACCAATTAATAAATTACGTAGGTATATAAATCAAGTTGATTTGAACTATAATATTACAAGATTATTTTATTGGTAATATTTTCAAACGCATTTCGCTGTTTCAACTTTAATGATATTTTCTATTTGGTACCTATATTAAATACTTCAAAATCAGTTTTATCTTTACTTTGTCAAATCTTTGAAAATGTTGTTGAGTATAGATAAATATTAATGAGTGATTTAATATAATTATATTTTACTCTTAACTTAGTATTTTATTTATAATTTTACTACTTTAATATTCAAAATTTATACTCCATAATAGAACCTTTTAAAAATTCAACTGTTGTTAAAGTATAAAATAAAAAATATTTGGCTGGAAACGGTGACTTAAAGTATACTTATATATCATTACTCGTGTCTCTTATAATGTAACATTTAACCGAGGACTGTACCTATCTATTTTTTTCTTTTTAACCATTTTCATTTTGTACTAAGAAAAAAATTATTTTAAAATGTATGAAAAAAAATTCTGCTTAACTTAAAAACTTTACATTCGAAGCACACGTAGTGTGGTAGTGATTATTAATATATATTATATTATTGACTAATAAAGGTTATTCATCAGTAACCGTAATTATTAGGCTTGCTTGGGGTCGCAAAATATGCCCTTTTCAATAACCGCATTTTGAGGGTTATAATAGCTATTCCAAAAAATTGTATATTTTAATTTTATTTATATTTCTACAGACAATTGACTGATAATTTTCTTTCTGTTTTTTTATCATCAACGAATACGTACTTATTTATAATATATTATAATAATTAATAATCTAATAAAAAAAATGATTATTATACCTAATAACTAAAAATGTTTTATTATGTTCTATGGTTGAAAACAACATTCGCGAATACATGCAGCTATTATCTCGTTAGATTAATGTGATTATTATATCTTTTTAACAGAATATACTATTCTTTGTCATCACGTGAATTATACATTATTATTATAGTACCTATATACCTTATCTATCTATAAGAGAAAGATATCAAATGTAATACGATCGGGTTGACGGGTTCAATCAACCATTTTGTTTTGTTTCTCTGATTGAATGGAGAAAATCCATTTAGAGTTTGTGCAAAAAAACTGTAAAAACCAGTTTATTGGATTTGTATTTTATTCCATACGTTATTTTCTTGTACGTCACCGTCATCCTGTATAACAAAACAAAAAACCTGTTATTACTGTATACTTACCTTTTTTTAATTTTTTTTTTTTTTTTAATCGGTCGGTTGGTTTATTCAAATCGAACCGGTCGCAGTCGTCGCTTTTTTCGTATATGCACACACAAAACTATATCGTGACTATTATGCCCTTAAATTACTGCAGGCAAGGGGTTTAATTGTGGCCCGCTTACAAATTAAAAAAATATATAATATTATGTATATATAAACTAATAAAAAATAAACACCGAAATGTTTTCCAAAACTTATACATAATAAATAAATCAAATATGTACCGATGGCATGTACACAGCAGACCACCGCAGAGAGTCTTAACGACTAAATTAGGTATATACATGTAATATGCATTTAACTAAATATGTTTGGTTTTTTCTACTATATATAATATATACATTTATATACCCGAGTGTTTATTCCGTCTGCAGCCGGTTTGGATTGGGCTACAATTGTACATTATATACCGAATTAATGACGTAAATTAATTTTTAACCCTTCGTTTAGGGTCCAATGATCATAGAAAGATATAGAAATAAGACGGCTCATGCGCACCAAAATATCTAAATACTATACCTATCACATATATATTATTAAAGTCAGCATCATTATATATGTGGTAAAAAATGTTTAATGTTTGATAATACCTATATAATATAGTAATCATTTTATTCTTTCTTTATATAATACCAAATTATTTAGTCGTAGTAGAAACATACATAAGTTTTCACTAAATATTTCAATTTCAGTTTTTAATAATATACATATTATATTCGCGTATAGTGGTCAAACCAAAGAACCTTTAAAATCCTTTTTTTTTAAATCAAAATCAATGTATAGCTATATTAATTACCGTGTTTGTAATATAATAAAAAATACTTATTTAGATTGATTAAATTATTCTACTTAACTGTTAATTTAAGATTCGTTAGTAAAATTATCTTGTGAAAAATAAAATCAATTGCTTTAACTGATATAGTCATTGATATTTTTTAATAAGTTTTTTAACTAATATACTGCTATAATCAGCAGGTAGTGAATATAATAAATATTTACTATAATTGTATTTAAAAACGCAATTTATATGGTATCAAGTACTTAATTTTCTAAAGTATAAATTATTATTAGTTTTATTTTATAAGATAACTCGGTTATTACTAACGGGATTAAAACTATCGACAATTCGGTCTGAAAATAAGATAAATAATCGCCTTAAGCAATAAGTTATACATTTTTTGTGCACCTGTATAATGGATAAAATAATAAATTAATTTTAATATTTTAAGTTCGATTTAATCGATATTGTCTTTTTTAATGAAAAATACTAAAACGATATATTATATACTTTACAGCTAAAATATTGCAATATAAATAAATACTTGGTAACTAAAATAATAATAGCTTGTAAAATGCACATAATGTGATATAATGTGTATGATGTATTTTATAGGTAGATTGGTGTATATTTACACTTACTTTTATTTGAAAACATGCCGCTTTTAAATAGATTGTTTATGTAAAGCGATTTGGTCAAGCGTCAGCAAATTTTGGCATAAATTGTGTTATATTAAGGTTATTTAAAGTTGATTACTTAATCAACAGAAAATTTTAGTTTAAACACTAATATAATATGTATTTATTAACATAATATAACTCTAATATTGGCATGTACTCCAAAACGAATCGTAAACATAATAATATTTTGTCAAATTTTAAACGTGCATTGCCTCTATACGTGTTTTTGGTTAACTAAAACGTATAAACTTTATGTATTTGTGTTATATATCTATTTTATTTTCAACACAGATTAAATGTATATGTATATATGTATTAATAAAGGGATTTAAATTCTTATTATCCCTCTTATACGTCTTATTCGAACGGCATTTCGTATACAGTCTACCTACACCTCTCGATAGTAATATCATAACATAATCACTCATACCCGCATTTACATAATATATCATCATTTATATCATTAATAAGGCTGTCCTCGCTTGTATAGTTATGAGTGTTATGACCAAGAATAGTAGAGATGACAGCCACGTTTTATTTATTTATTTATTTATTTTTTTTTTTTTTTAACGAGCGTATAAATAAATATACGAGGTTTATAGGTAGGTGATTTCTTACATATTATAGTGTTTTCGTTTTTTTTTTCAGATAGATATAAGATATAATATCTGAGTATAATATAGGCACTCGTGTAATTTTATTATTGTTACTACCATCGTGTAGTAATTGTAATAGTATAAGCCTATAACTACCTACTAAAAATAGCGTATTTACTGCTTCTATTGCATGCAGTGAGCAGGTGAAACACAATTTACCCTTCGCTCTCTACTGCCGTGCATGAACCCTCATATAGATGTATCCATTGTGAATTTTTCTACGAAGACTTAATATGTGTTTGCACACTGTGTACACGAACATTGTCTTCTCAAGCTAGACAAAAATGTGTCAGCCATTATTAATTATTAGGTCGGTTAAATTTTAAATTGAAATGTATTAATGTTTGCAGTTTTAAAGAAACAACTCATGGCTAAATATAATACACAATAATTAAAAGAAAAAGAAGATTTAAATGATAAAAAATCAAAAAATCGATTTAGACATTTTATATTATTATTTTTTAGCGCGGAGTGTCCTTGTTTATATATCTATGTAGTGAGTAGTTAGGACTAGCCAACGTCCACAGCATTACACACAAACACACATACATACACACACAAGTATAAGTAGTTATAGTCGTATAATGATAATAATAATATACATAAAATGCGTGAGTGTGTGTGAGTGCGTAGGATTTGTTTGACCTCTGATACGCTCGTGGCAAAAGGATCTAAAAATAGACTAATTTATCTCGACCAGTGCTTCTCATTTTTATTGTGAAATTTTTATCTTAAAAACCGAAACTTCATCTTTTAATGTGATGAGTGGTGACATAGTGAAGATGGTACCCGATTAATGATTCTACTTATATTTTTTTACGCCAGTTTTTTTAAATATAATATGTTTTATATTTGTATTTACAGATTCGAAATGGTAACGCGTCGAAATAAGTTGCTTTCAAAAATGGAGCTATTGGTTTGCAGGTATGCCTACTTTTATTTTATGCAACATACGTGCATTACTTCCAGTAGTTATTTAATTGTTAAAACTACAAAATCAATAAATATTAATTACATGTTATCACGGAAGCATGTACATATTATTACAATAATTTAAAAATTGCACAACTTTTCTTATAGCTTCGTGTGCTTGGTTATTATTTGTTATGAAATAATAACATTTAAATTTTAATCGTTCATCTACTTTTAATTATATTTAGATTCTAGATTTATTCATAATTGTCATAAATTATTTTATAAATACAACTATCAAAGCTTATTGTAGTTATGCAATGAGGCAATATGAGTCTTCAATCTACGTAGATTTTATTCCCGAGTTAATATGTGTTAACTGTGTTAATTATAAAATATTTATTTTCAATTAATAAATATTAGGTATCTATTATTAGTATTATCAGTATTATTATCTTCCCTATCATCAAATTATCTATGTATAGACTTTATAAACTACTATAAAAAGTCATAAGACAATACTTATCTATAATTTTTTTCTTTATTCAAAATAGTCAATTTATTTTAAACTGCGTTGTATGGCAATTCAGTTATTGTTATTTGTTAAAACCCACAATATATCATATTATTCATATTACCTTTAACGCACTCGATTTTCAGGTTTTAAACGAAATGATTACGCGATTCTATCGTACGTTTTCTTTTTTATATATTTGTCTGGTTTTATACGTACAATTTATAATTCAACACGTGATAATTGTTCATGACGCCAGTGACTAAGGGGAGCTGCAGGAACCCGCGTATCGACCACTGAACCGTCGTTCAGATCCATTAAAATGGATGCAGTGTGCAGTGTGTCCCAAATTTAATCCATAGAGTAAATTTTCGTTTTTACACACACAGTGTATACACTTTGCCACGATTTATAAAATGTCTCGTGAAACATATTATTATAGTTATTATTATTATTATTTTTATTAATTTTTTTTTTAAGCAGATTAATGAAATTGACGTTTTGTTGATGTTTTGTACTTTTATTCTCCTTCCAGGCTTGAAATAAATCAAAACGTCATGGGCAAATTCCGCATAGAATTATAATTCATAAATATTTAAAAACGATATCCTTGTACCTATATATTGTTAATATATTAAGTACGAGTTCATGTGCAAACTAAGTTTAATAAAAAATTATTTTAAGTATATCATTGACCTTTCTTCCTGTGAATTATCTATTTTGTATAAACCTAAAACGGCGTAACTTTTCATCGTTATTAATATTTAATAAAATTTATATATATATGCGCACGTGTGTATGTGTGTGTATTAACTGTATTGTATATATTATGGTTTATTGTACGTACAACTGTACAAGTATGAATAAGAATATTGGTGTGATATGCATATATCTAAGAACCTAACATACCTATATACATTCGTTAATTGTATTGTTTCTTTTCGAACGTACTTACAAACAATTTGTTTGTTTTCAAGATTTAATTATTTCCAATTCAAGTCACTCTCGCTTAAAATCGCTATTAATTGTTATAAAGTTTTCTTATAAAATATGCTGATCAGTGTAGAATTTCTTTATATATATACCTAACACTAATATTATACCTAATCAGCGAATATTAATTTAAATTATTTTTATGATCACGTGTTAAATGTTAAATGTTATTTTATATCGTCATAATTTGTTTAATAATTAATTATATAACTTAACCTTATACATCCCTTTCACAGTAAGATGTTAACCAATCAATATTATGTATTATATTACAAATATATTGGTATACTATTATATTATGAGTTACGAATTTATGGAGGATAACCCCCTTATTCATCATATAGCGTCATAGGTTTTTTTTTAAGTCAACATTATAAATATAGTAAATAAATGTCGTATCAATCAATTTATTATTGATTTGTAAAAAAAAAAAAAATACAATATTTTTATAATCTCTTTAATATAATATTTTTTAACAATATATGATTTTGAATTTTTCGAGTACCTATACCAAATAGTATTTATACAATTACTAAGTTTCCCATAACTACGAGTATAATTATCTCGATATTATAACAGTCATCACAAAGATGCATCTTATTTTCTTTCATGCTTGATTGTGGTTTAGTATTATTCGATTTGTAAGAAAATCATCTAAAATATAATATATTTAAAATATGAATACAGCTGGGTATAGACCCAGAAAAAGTTAGATTATTCTGAACCCCATTAATTTATCGTATATGCTTATAAAAATGGCTAAATTAAAAAATATGTGCATTTGATCATTTTTGAAAATGCATCATGCAAAAATATATATAACTACTTGTATTTTCCACGTATTCTCATACATCTAATGAATTACGGTATACTTATATACGTGTAAATATTATGATTACAAAAATAAATTGCGTTATTCGTGTAGTGAACTTATATTATTTACTATCGATTCTCAGAATATAGTCGATACTCGATATAATATGCGATAATATATAAATTATACATTGTTAGTTATTACGATTTCTGAAGAATTGTCAGTTGCTTTTTTTTTACTTTTCCTAGATGTTGGTACATAATATTTTTATATTATTTTGTTATTAAAAAAATGGAACGCATTATTTAATATAATTATAGTATGTCATGTACTCAAATTTACTCGCTTAATTCATACTGAAAAATAATACCTAATTTAATCCAAAAAAAAAAAATTCTTTCTCATTTTATAAACTTTGGACTTTCAGCTTATAATACCTCAAATTCAGTAAAAAAATTAAATTTAAATTATCAAACGCTAAAAAATTAATAAGTAAATTTATTATTATTGTAAAATATTACTATCGAGTACCAATAATTGCAACCTACTACTGATTTATATTTTATGAAAATAGTCATGTCATCATATACTAAACATATTCTATATTGTTATAATACTTAATAAATGACGTAAATAAGATAAAAATAGAAAATACAATATCAACTAGCTTTTTTTATCGGACTAAATTAGGCGTATTAACGGATGGAATTCAGTCATAAATATAATTCCAAATTTGGGACTGAACAGTACTACTAACAAAAACATGTCGATTAATTTACACGCGTGACGCATAGAAATAGGTACCTACTGCTCTTGTTCGGTCACTTTAAATGGCGCAGAAAGCAGTTGCAGTACATTTATACTTCAACATTTTTTCAAATATTATAAGTGTAAATGTAAATGTAAATTATTATTGAAGCATATATTATCTATATACCTTATTATATAGGTACGCGTTATTCGTTTAAATTAAAAACGCTCTTTGCCACCCTTAAAATGTTAGCGCTTGGTGCATCATCCCTAAGCATGCAGCGATATCTGCATAAATATACTTACAATATATATAGTTATTATTTTATCGTGGCTTATAGTTATATACATTGCTACACGTATCTTTTTCGGGCAGGTGAAATGCGGAACGGTCGACCGAAGGCGGCGGTCTTAATCTTGTTGCTCGCGTTGTTTGTTCTGACCGGACCCCCTCGGATGCTGGCGGATAGTACCGGCAACTCTTCGTCCGCAGCCGCCGTCGCCTATATCTCGTCTGCGAACACCACCATCGCCCTGACAGCCGATAACGTTACGACCACTGCCTTTGCCGCCTCCAGTACAATATTGCGGAACCTGACGATCGGCTATCTAACTGCGGCCAAGGGTAAATTGGACAACCGACAAGGCCTGTCCATTTCAGGAGCCCTAAGTTTGGCACTCGAGGAAGCAAGTATACTTTAAAAGTATTAAATCATTCATCCCTATTCCCAGCCTATAGTAGCAGAGTTTCATCCTAGAAAAATATATTATTATAATATTTAGTTGTTTATGATGAGAAATTAATACCGTTTACACGACTGTTCGGTTATAAAACATTGATTTTTAATCAGAATTTTTTAATCCGATTATACTTGTTTGATTAAAACCTGATTCTATCTATTAGCTTATACCGTATACCTATAATGCTATGCCTTTTTTTCAAATCTTTTGCATTCACCTAAATATGTTTTTACCCTTAAACCCACGCATGCTTAAACGGCGAGCTGGTAGTTCATTGTTTTAAGATGGAGGCTGGTAAATGCATCTAAAATAGGTTTTTGATTTTCAATTTGATCTTGTTCGTAGATCGAGAGTGATCCACACCTGTTGCCCAATGTGTCGTTGTTATTGAAATGGGAGGACACGCATGGCGAGACAGTGCACGCGACCAAAACGATCACGCAAATGATATGCGACAAGGTGGCCGTGTTTTTCGGACCTGAGGGCAATACTTGTTATACTGAGGCGATAGTCGCGCAGGCGTGGAACATTCCAATGATCAGCTATGTGAGTATTTTATATATTATGATAATATTATTGTTGTTATTAAGTATGTATAATAATTATGCGATGAAGACAATGCAGTATTATGTTATTATTTACTACCAGATTCATATCCATGGATATATTATGATAGCAAGGTGATTTTATTGGTGGTGATGGATCCGATTATATTATCTTCTTTGCTTATTGTAAATTACGCTATTATTGAAGTAGTTAATTTAAATTTAAAATACCTAAATTGATTCATTTTAAACTATAATCAAATTTTTTAGGTTATAAATATTTGACAAACTCTAAATTTAATAGTTCCATATTTTAAAATAGAATATATTATCTTTTTTAAACTTAATTAGGTAGGTATATAATTTATACAGTACTATTTACTGTGTAAAAAACATTTCTTTAAGAAACAAAAATGTCGATAACGAGATGCGTGTCCAATAATGAATTGTTTACATCATTCAAGTATAGATAAATCATATTATTTTGGTATACAGCAAACGTATTAAATACTATTAATAAAAAAAAAATAGTAATAACAAAGATAAACACGCTACGTCCACTTTTCTCCTTGGTCTGTTTTTCTTGCCTGACCATATTATTGTTGTGTTGTCGAAATTTTCGCGTATATATGCATTTTTATTATATTTTAATTAAGGGTTGGCAATTGTTTATACATTTACAATCGATTGTCGGCTGCTACAGTCATCTCACACGTACACATATATATAAATAAGGACAATTGACATTCTTGATTGATCCGTTCAAATAATCAAAACAAATTATGCATCTGATTAATCAATAAAATAAGGTTAACATTTAATTTAAATTAAAGACTATTTGATATTTATAAAAAAAATTGTATTACTAAAATAATTGTGATAAAATACAAGGTCAACGCAAGGTTTTTGTAAGTTCTATTTTTATTTTATTTTTTGTTAAATACATATTAAAACATAAATAATAAATATATTATTCTAAAAAATCTCACATGTTTCATTATTCAATTAAAAATGTATCATAAACTACTTTTTTAGTTTTTCAAAGATTTAAAAGTACCCTTGGAAATTTATCTACGTATATATACTTTCTAAGGAAAATCGTAGCAAGTTTAGTGGTTTTTTAATTCCTTAACTATGCTCGAACCTACATTTTTCGCTGCCAGCATGGTAGTCCTTTGCTATAGACGTGGCTATTTAGTTAAAACATTGAATTCGCTATTTTGATCATGTGCATATTACAAGTTCGTGTTCTTGATTGTTATATTATGTGCGTTGATAAACAATTAGTTTTTATGTCTACCCTATTAATCATACTTATAATATAAAAATAATAACAATACAAAGAAATTTAATAGTTTTATACGAACAATTCAATATCATAAAATGTTCATAAAACATATTCTAACACTAACAAGTCAAAAATTGTCGAAGAGATTGATTGCTAATGTACCTAGAAATATATTATATTTCAATTTGATCGCCTTCGTAAAAATTATTTCTTATCCATTAATCTAATAATTTGTTTGCATACTTGTAGAGGATAACTCTGTAATAGTTAGCATTGCTATAATACAAGTAAATAAATAGCCTCGTAGGTACTCATATAATACTAGTATTAACTTAAAAAAATATATTTATATATATTATATAAATTAAAACATACATGATAAGAAGCAATTATATTTTAAATATAATGGTTGTAATTTTTTCTTCTGGTTCATTCGAATTAAAAATGCGTTTACATTTTTCTTTTACACGCCTATTCAAATATAACTTTTGAATTTCAATGTATATAATTTTTTTTTTTTTTTTTAATTACAAACATAATTTAAATTTTATACCTGATATATTTGAAAACCCCCAAGGTCTACATAATTTTTGTTCATATTATTTCTGTGTTGGTTAGGGTTCATATTATAACGAAATAAATACAATGCATATGTTTACCATTTATATTTTATACTCAATTATAACATAGCTTTAAAAACGGTACTTCACGATACTGTAAAATCTATGTTAAATGTTTTTTTTTTTCGTTTCTAAAGACTTAAGTCTACTTTTAAAAAAATGATTTACACAATATTACTATGTATATTATTGTATATTATTACATTATAATTAAGCTATGACCGAAATACAATAGTATTTTTTTAAATGTTTCCATAAAATAAAATTTAACTATCAAAAAATGTCATTTTGTGTTAAATAATATTAATATTTTTTTAAGTGACGTCACATTATAATAATTTTTTAATTTGATTTGTTATCAATTTCTAATTATATTTATCATATTTTTCATTATAACCAGACATTACTGTAAATGAACTGTTTTGATAATCAATTAAGCATATATATATATATATATATATATTATCATTAACATATTTGATGTACAATATATGAAAATATGATACATTTATATAGGTATTGAAAATATATATGGATTGCTGTAGTAAAATCTTTAGTATACCTACTTTTACTTATTTATAAATATTATATTATCATCGTTTTACGATTACAGTGATTAGGCTTTCGTATAGTTAAACATATTGCTTTTATAATATAAAATCACCCATCTCAATCCCGTCCACCAAACTAAACTTACCTATACAATACTAAGAACTTAATCAATAATTTTTTTCTTTATTTTTTTATTCATTCTATTGACAGTGTTTTAAAACTTTAAATAATAAAATAATAAAATTAACGAAAACATACTTGCTCTGTAAGTATTTTGTAAGTTGGTAAATTCACTTTTATTTTTCAATTATGTTTCTTAGTAGGCACACAAAGTGTGTTTTATGACATTGAATATACAACTAAAAACGTCATTTAAAATCTTATAACCTCCGCCAAAGTCATTAATATGAGAAGAACAACATAACGTGCGTTTTATGAACAGTTAAGTTCAGGTTATTATTAGTGTTGTTTGCAAACTTTGTGTATACATTTAGTTCATCTGGCGTGTAATTAAAATATATACTTTGTGTACAATAACAATTCTCTTAAGAAAAAAAACTTATGATAATGAGTAATCGTGACATTTTTTTTTGGTTTTCATTGTATCAGTTGTATTATTATATTATACGGCTTATTGTATTTTTTAGTTTTTATGAATCAAATATTATATGCTATATTATAACATTATATTTAATAAATTATTTAAAATTTTTAGCCATCTTAATTAAACAATATTTAATGTATTTCGTTTCATGTGCTTGTGATTGTAAATTATACTTCATCTTATATACTACATGCTGTGTATCTTGTGTAACTTGTCAAGTGTCATATGACTCATATGGCTTCAAATTGAAATAAACAAATAATTTTTTTTTTTTGCATCATATGATACGGATGGTTAATTGATTATAGTATACGAATCGTGAAAGTTAGAACATCAAATTCTGCTAAATTTAATAATTCTAAAAGAAGTTTTCATTTTTGTACTTTTATTTTCTAATAATAGGTAATAATAACCTAAAAACCATGCAACAATTTTTCCCTTGTTTTTATTGAATTTTATTTTATCACAGTATTATTTATTAATATTTTAACTTTTCGTTTAATAGTATGTTATAGAATTGCATATAGATGTCAAGTATACAATACTTCAACGGTGATTTTTAATATGTATTTAATATACTAGAATAATAACAAAACATTTTAATATATTATTATTATTTGTTTAGTTTTTTTTACGAAAACCATCACAATTTTTAGGCGACTGAATTACATTTAATTATCGTCGCTCACAACATTGGCGCATTTTATATTATAGACTATAGTACCTAAATCTATCCATTGGGGTATATGGCAATACCTATAGCGATTGACAAATAGGGTAGTCATTGTCTAACCTCAAGGTTGTATTATATAACATAGTTAACAGTTGCGAAAACTGTCGACGATAAAATCTATACATAGCGTTTTGGTTAACATGTGCTCGAACATTTTTCAAGGTTGTGTATTTCTATAAATAGCTGATGACAGATCTCTACTTTTTACCGTTTTTTTAGGTATTTGTTTTCGGTGAAAAACGACACGCGGTCGTGTGTATAGCAGTGGTAAAAGGTAAATCCGCATATAGCGCCTTTCACTAGTGACAATAATTACATTTTCGTTCATAAATCCATGTTGTACCTAGTCATTTATAGTCAATAAAAATAAATTATTTACAATTGAGCATTTAAGCTGTTCTAAAAAATTTATAACATGCAGCCTTAGCACTTGCTTTGGCCTAGCGGACAAGCAAGCCTGTTGCGTAGTAATGTCTGATAGGTTGCAGAAGAGTTCCAACCCTTATATCTACTTAAGTTTTACGTTTTAGACGCTATAATTTTATTTTGCTTCTAGTTAAAATTGGTATGATTTCCGGCACTTGTTAGATAGACAGATGTAATATATAACATAATATATACGACCACACAAAAACCACATACTTCTAATGTAATGATCAATAAAAGCTTACGAAATGCCTCAGACAATATCCATATCTATTAAATTGAATAATATAGATCATTCATTCACCTTTACATATTACATCTCACAATACCAATGAATTTATCCTAATGGAAATTTATTATGCTATACGTTTGTTAAACGGAGATAACATATGGGCGTGTAACTTTTTCTTAAAAAGATAAGCGGTACAGTAGTAATGACTAATGGTTAAGCACTCAAATCGAACGATCCTCCCTTATCATAGATGTAATATAGAAATAAAAGAGGACTATGCATTGCCACAAGTATTTTATATATATTTATATATATATGAGTACAGACCACATGAGTAGGTGTCCTTTCAATATTTGTTGGTTTTTATAACAAAAAAAACTGCAATAACAAACCAATCTTGTTTAAATTTTCTTTTTCATTATAATAGGAATGATTTTTTAATATACTATTATTTAATATTGTATAAGTATGTATGCCAAAGAAATTATTTATATTCCAAATATAATTACCTATATATAAATAACTTTTAATTATGTAAAAACGCTTTGTTATGAGTTATTATTAAGTATTAACTGTTGAGAAACAAGTTAGGCCACCCCTTCAAACCTTTTAGAACTTTGGTGCTGCGTGTAGTTCAGTTCGTACATTTTTCTGCTGTTTAAAATGTTTAGGTAACAACGCTTTTCATAAACCTTATAATAGTAGTTACAAATATTAATTATTGTTCTTACCTTGAATTGGTATTTATTTATTTTTTAACTTAAATGTTATTATTTATCTATCACTATTCACTCACGGGGAATTTGATCATACAAAAATATTAATCAATTTCAATAACACATAATATAGATAAATTCGTTTGTGTTTTTATAATATATATTAAACACACATCACACAATTTCATATGCTATATATATATATAGGCAGTGAAGCGTTTTATAAATCTTATTTTATTAAAGCTTATGAATCATTTTTATAGAATTATGCACCGAATATAACCTATTTTTAACATGTTTCAGAAATGTGCCGATTACCAAGCATCAAAAGTACCGACGTTTGCTCGAACCGAACCTCCGGACACACAAGTAATGAAATAAAAATATATATACATGTGTATATAGCTATATCTATGTAATCACCATAAAAATAATAGGCATGGCAATTGCATTAAATATTACAGGTAAAAATAGTTAAACAAGATGACTAAGATGGATATACAATATACATCGATTCATATTTCGCCAATAATTTCAAAATATGTTTAATTTAAACAGAAGATTTCTCCAATTTTTTTTTTATATATCATGTTTTTTGATGAGGAAGAAAAATATAATTATTAATTTATATTTCTTTTAGTAAATTAATACATTTTATTTAATTATTATCAATATTATACATTGTTATAGTCAAACTTTTTTATTTTTATTGACCTCGCCGAAACATAATTAAATATATTTAAAAAAAATATCAGGGACTTCTCAAATTTTGATTTTACTATATGTCACATAGGTATAACAAAAACAATTTAATAAATTTTAGTTCAGATAGTTTATATAAACTTGGTGCCGTTGATCGACACTCAAAATAATAAAGTGTAACTAAAAACGATTTAATTTATGTTTTTATATTATTTGTAGATCACCAAATCAATTATTTCCTTGTTGAGATATTACAACTGGAAGAAGTTCAGCATAATCACAGAAGAACCATGGAATAACGTAGCTGATTCTTTAAAAATCCAAGCGTTATCCGCCAACATGACCATAAACCATTTTAAGACGATTGTCGATCCGCACCAGTGCTGCGAACAAGATCAGTCGTGCTGCAACGTTGGGCACTGGTACTCACTAGTACAAGAAACCATGGTCAATACCAGAAGTAAGATTTTTTACGTGCCTTTGCATGCTACACATAATTACATAAACACATAAATATGTGTACTCCGTACACATATACGGTTGAATATCGCAACCATTAATGCAGTGCCATATAACTTTATAACAACGATACAGGGAACTTTGTGATTTTCTAACTTTTGTTTTCTCAAACAAAATTTGAAATTTTCATAAATAAAACTATCCGTTTTTTAATTATAAGAAAAAACAAAACCGATTGATTTTATCGAAAACTATGATTCAGGTATAATTCCCTTTTCTCCCTTTGAACCGTGTTTATATTTACCTTATATCTATTATTATTTACTACCAAAAAAAAAAAAAACTATCTAAATTAGAAAACTAAATCATTTTCCTACAATAATACATGTCTTCAAATAAAAAAAAAAAAATTATCACTGTAAAACCAACACTTTATTTATCGATTTAAACATAATCTAAAATATTTCTGAGAAATAAAAAAATATAATTGATTTGATAAACGACTATTCAATTTTCTTTCCTTGAATTTTTAATAAAAGATTAATGTAGTTTGAAAATAATATAATACGCATAGATTAATTTTTCTATATAACACTAGCTATCCTCGTGTACTTTATTGCCTATTAGTATAATGCCTTTTTTTTATTCAAACATTCAATTCGTTATTCTAAACTTAATACTTGTCATTCACAGACAAAACGGCGTTCCTTTTATATTTTTATAGATATCCCTCTGCACTTCGATGCTCGTAAAAAAATACCACCTTTTATTTAGAACTTTTTAACATTTATTTCATCATAATCTAACATTGTAGAAATTGTCACCTTCCATTCATCCACCGTATCGCATCACCCATCCATGCCATTATTTCGTTTTCGTTTAGCGTTTGCTCTGACTTATTTTTTTGATCGGTTCCTAAGAATTTGAGCGTGATATAAAAGAGCTTATAACTTTTCTTAAAAGATGAACTATTAATTTCAAAAATAATTTTTCAAATTTTAGTGGTAGTTAGGTTAGTGATTAATGCATTCTAACAAAAAAACTCTTCGACTTTATGAAATCAAAAAACCGAGCGAATAGTCAAAAGAGGTGTAACTTGAAAATGACCAATTTTTTTTTTAAATAACAACAAATTCAATTTAATTTAATTGATAACTATCAGTAATGATAATATATTTTTTTAAATTACGACTATATATTACTAAAAATAACCTATTTTTCTACTTTTTTTATTTTTCTGTATAATGTTAAAACTGTTTTTAACTTTTATTAATATTTTATATGAGTAATATTATTTTTTACTATTTAATAATAATTTTATATTTTATTTTTTAGTTTACGTATTTTTGGGTGTTGCTAAATCACTGGTGGACATGATGAACACAATGCATGCCTTACAGTTATTTGACAACGGTGATTACATGGTCATTTTTGCGGACACTAAGATCAACACTTGGAAAGACTCCCAACAATATTTGTGGAGTAATTATTATATTTTATCATTAAATTATTATATTGTTAAATTATTGTTACTGTTGCCGCTAGTGAACTATATTATTTTAATATATATTATTAAACTTATTTTTGGTGTTTTGATTTTTCTCTGTGTAGAGCAACGTGATTCGTTAGACATGTCAAATTGTATGGAAGAGAAAAATTTTCTTAAGCGTGCTCGTTCGTTGTTGGTTATCGTTGCCTCGCCACCGTCACCAGAAAAATATGAAGTTTTCACAAAGAAAGTATCAGAATACACCAGTAAAGAACCGTTTAAATTTCAAACACCAATCGTGTTTAAAAATGCGTCATATTCCAAGGCAAGTACAGATTACCTTATTTTTTTAATATATATGTTTCAACCGTAACACTAAATTATTTTTGTTAATCTATAGTTTGTGTCCATTTATGCTGCCTATTTGTACGATTCGGTTATGTTATATGCACGAACATTAGATCTTTTACTTAGAGATAAAGCAAATGGCCGGGAATTAACAGGTGAAATAATTGATGAAGTAGCTTACAATGGAACACTAATCATTGAAACACTTGTCAATAATATAACATACCAGAGTAAGTAAAAATTAAAAGCTTCTTTTAAATATTTACTATATAGGCATAGTGTATTCAGTATTGTATAAAATATTACTATAAATAGGTATATTAAACAATGCAATTTCTGTTTAGGCATTACTGGTGCAACAATCAAATTAGATAAAAATGGTGATTCGGAAGGAAACTATTCAGTGATAGCGTTGAAATCACACGATTTTCAATACCATTTGAATGAAGGAAATTTTTCTTGCCCATATTATATGATTCCAGTGGCTCAGTTCTACCACGGTGAATTACTGGTAAGAATATGCAATCTGGTAATAAATTGTATTTCATTCTTTAAATGTTTGATATTATTTTGTTACTTGTAAGTGTAGGAGTATAAATTGAATTCTCCTAATTTGAAAATTGAATGGCCTGGTAAAAGTCGACCAGACGATGAACCGAGTTGTGGCTTCAACAATGAATTGTGCAAAAAAAATGACATGGAAAAGAGCTCTATTATAGTTGCTACAATTTTGGGACTAACTTTATTCTGTGCATTTGTCATCACCCTGTCGATATATAGAAAATGGAAAATAGAATTAGAAATTGAAGGACTGTTGTGGAAAATAGACCCATCAGATCTGCTTGGATACTATAATAAAGATATTGTTTCATCTCCTAGCAAAGTAATTGCGTCCATTAAAGTTAATTTTTTTAATTTTATCAAACTAATATTGTTTAGTTGAGTTTGGTTTCGGCTACCTCATACGAATCCCGTTGTGGACCTCAAGTTTTTGCAACTACTGGTCATTATCGTAACATAACAGTGAGAATTAAAGAATTGAAGTTTTCAAAGCGCAAAGACATTTCTAGAGAACAAATGAAAGAAATGAGACTATTGAGAGATTTGAAACACAGCAACGTAAATTCATTTATCGGTGCTACTATTGAACCATTACGAATACTTATAGTTACCGATTATTGTGCTAAAGGAAGTCTCTATGTGAGTTTTTTTTTTTTAATTTGATTATATTTTTATATTATATAAGTACAATAGTCTGTCCAATGAGAAAATATGCCAGGACTTGACAAAATGGTTCTTCTATCTAACCTCTTGTTAATTCTACCATTGGTACCAATTTCACTACAGCCAGAGCTGTTTAGAAGGGAAGACAACAGGACCATTTTACCTTAGGCTTCAAGTTTAGAATATTTTTTAGGGACCTCCTTAGAGCTTTGTTATAAAAATACATATGTCAAGATTTTGAATTACTCAACCCTACCAATGAAATATAATTCATTCAAATCTTTTTAACCATTTCTAAAACCTTTTTCTTTATGAAATATCAATAATAAAATTGTATTCTGTCTATGTAGACTAATCTATTCTAATTATGTATAAATAAAAAAGCAACATTTTTAGTTATTCTAAATGATAATATATTTAATTAAATATTATAAACTATTGTTTTGTTGTAGTGCCGCAGTGATGAGTGTGAAAAAATAAGAATATTATATAAATCAAAATATTAATATTTCTTCACAGGGATTCATCATTGCACAGCACACTAGACGAGCAATAACTACAAGCTATTTATATATAATAATAAGTAAATTAATTAATTCATAATATGATATTTACCCATGAGAGTTAGGTATATAGACTATAGAGTTACTACTTGCTAATAAAGTCGACATTATACACTAATTATAGACTATAGATTATGATATAATAGACAGCTTTACTGGAAAAAAAGCTTGGACAAATGATTTCTAATATAAATATTAATATTTTATTTAAAATAATAAAACAATACAATTTCCTTTTTTTTTTATTTTCTAAATTTATCTAATCTATTTATGGGATCCTATAAACATCCTTACTCCTATTTTTTATAAATATTTATAATTATCTAGGGACAAATAATTTTTTTTAAAGTATATTTAGTAATATATAGTTAAGAAGTTATCTAAAATTTACCTAACCCACAAATGTACCAGTACATGCACATTTTAATGAGATTGGTTGCAGTTAAAGTTTGGAAAAATATATTTGCAAAAATTTTGTTGATGTTAATGTATAATTTTTTTATTATATTGTATTATGATGGTCAAAGGGTTCCGACATTAATTTGTCCCTTACCCTTGAAAAACTTTGGAATGGCTCTGACTACAATACTGTCATGTGGATATATTCAAAAGAACTGATTTTCATCAAATCTCGGCATGTTTTCTCTTTGAACAATATATATTAATGTAAATTATTTGTAATTTTATATTTATATAGGATATAGTAGAAAATGAAGATATTAAACTAGACAAAATGTTTATCACATCTTTAGTTCACGATCTCATCAGAGTAAGTTGTAACTGGCTTTACATTGGTCTAATAACTCTGTTATTAATGCTAATTACATTCTAATTTAATTGAACGTGTCAATCGTTAGTGTACCCCATTGTTGTGCAGGGTATGATATTTATACACAACTCGCCTTTAGGTTGTCATGGAAACTTAAAATCATCTAATTGTATTGTAACTAGTCGTTGGGTATTGCAAGTCACTGATTTTGGTCTACATGATTTAAGGCAAGGTGCAGAAAACGACTCTATTGGTGAACATCAGTATTTTAGAAGTAAGCTTTTTCACATATTACAATCAATTTCTGAAATTATCATTTAAAAATCTTTGTACAATATATTAACTTATATTTTTACTTTTAGATTTGTTATGGAAAGCTCCAGAGTTATTGAGAAACCCTAGTGCATCCATAAAAGGTACACAAAAAGGGGATGTATACGCATTTTCTATTATCTTGCATGAAATAATGTGTCGACGAGGTCCTTTTGGTGCTTGCGGCGTCGAAGATCCTAAAGGTTAGATACATGAAAGGTAACAATTTTTTAGGTAAAAACCTGTGGGCTCCAGATAAAATATTTAAGTTACATTTGTGTGTTGATTACCAGAAATTGTAAGACTGGTTAAGTTAGGTTATGATGAAATAAATGGTGTGCCACTGAGGCCAAGTATACACCATTTAAGAGACTGTGAAGTGGCAGAAGACTATGTCATTCAATGCATTACTGATTGTTGGGATGAATACCCAGAAAATAGACCAGACTTTAGCATGATACGTGCTAGACTCAAAAAAATGAAAGATGGAAAGTATGTAAATCCTAATATCTCAATTATTCATGATATATTTTTAATGTGTTTGATCTTATTATTTTAGACGTAAAAATATAATGGATCAAATGTTGGACATTATGGAAAAATATGCTAACGATCTTGAAAATCTAGTCGAACAACGTACACATGAAGTTTATGAATCAAAACAAAAAACTGAAGATTTATTACATCGAATGCTACCACCGTAAATATTATTTTGATATTGTTGATTTATTAAATTTTAACTTAAATTTATGTAACTTAACAGGCCAGTAGCAAAACAATTGACTCTTGGACACAGTATTGAACCAGAATCATACAAATCAGTTACCATTTACTTTAGTGATATTGTTGGTTTTACTGCAATGTCTGCTGAGAGTACTCCTTTACAGGTTAGTTGTATAAATATTAAATAGTAAAAAATAGTAAAGGCTTTTTTATTTTATTTTTTGTAACAATATAATATTAGATATTAGTATATTAAAATCAAGCTGCATGTATTATGTATAGTATAATTAATCAATAGGTAGTGAGCTAATATTTCCTTCAACAATATTAAAATTGATTGATTTTTTGTGAAACCTAGCATACAAATATTAGCTAGTAAAAACTCCCAAATTATATAGTAATTATTAATTTTTGTATTTAAGGTTGTAAATTTTTTAAATGATCTTTACACATTATTTGACAAAATCATTAAAGGCTATGATGTTTACAAAGTTGAAACAATAGGAGATGCATACATGGTGGTATGTATTATTATTATTATTGTTCTTACCTTATTTAATATTAATTTTATTTATATAATTTAGTATTATTCACTTTTGTTGTTTTATTAAAAATTACAATTATTTAATGAAAATTATATCGCATGATATAGGTGTCAGGGTTGCCTATTAGAAATGGTAATAGAAATGCTGGTGAAATAGCTTCAATGTCATTAAATTTACTCGAAGCCATAAAACATCACAAAATAGCACATCACCCAGAAACTACATTAAAATTACGAATAGGAATTCATACAGGTATTACATGATGTCATGATTTATAATAAGATTTTTACAGTAATTCATTATTGTTAAAACTTATTTAAATTGCTTATTTTTGCAATGAAATAGGACCTGTAGTAGCTGGTGTAGTTGGTCTCACAATGCCTAGGTATTGTTTATTTGGCGATACTGTAAATACAGCCTCACGAATGGAATCTAATGGTGAACCATTAAAAATTCACATAAGTGAACAATGTAAAAATGCTCTTGATGAATTGGGAGGATATATAATTAAAGAACGTGGATATGTTAACATGAAAGGAAAAGGAGATGTGCTCACTTATTGGCTTGAAGGGACAAATGAAAAAGCTATTAAAAGAAGAGATGTATGTAAAATAAACCATAAAATATGATTATAATTTCAATAAAAAAAAATTTTATTTTATTTTTATGTTTAGGCGGATTTTACTGAATCACCACCTCTGTTTTGTGGATCAAAACGCCACATTCCGAAATTATATAACTTTGGAGAACACGGCAGTAGACGTCCATCATTTGCGCCACGAGGAAATTCATTTGATCAAAATGCCAAGGACAGTCAGACTATACTCCATGAACAACGGCCAACTCCTATACCTCATATTCTGCTTGAACCACAATGTAAACAAATGGTACATTCTACATCTATGGATCCATTCCCAAACAAACACATTAGCAGAGTGAGCTCAATGATCAAAAGAAGTTGTCGTTCATTAGAGGTTAGAGCAGTAATATCTATCAGTGATTAATGTATCAAAACACAAACATATTTTTACTATTATAAAATTATTTATTTCCATAGGATTCAAAACTTCTTAATGATCAATGCACAAAAGAAGAAAACTGTGAAGATAGTGTTGAGGAAACTGTAGTTAATGGAAGCCTTCAATACACCCCTTTATTATCAATAGAAGATAATAAACGATGGCATTCATTCGAAGACATTTCCATGGAACCGCATAGAAAGAAATTGGTTTCAAGAAATTCAATTAGGAGTTGGTTGGTTGGATTATTTAATGGCACTGCTACATCTTGTCGAACTAGTGAAGTATCATTACGTAAAACGTATTCAGACAGGCAACAGATTGTTGACAAGGAGAGTGTAGTTTAAATCAATAAGTATCAAACTAGGTTTGAAAATAATTTCAGGTAAAATTATCACTAAAAAAACTTAATAATAAGGAAAATTTATAATATTGTAATCAAACATCAAACACAATTAAAATGTTGTATAAAAATTTCACAACTCTTTGACAATTTTTATTATAGCCTATACTCTGCTTAAAAAAAAAAAAAAAAATGCACAATTATATCATTGGCTTCATTCATGCCGTATATACATATAATAAATGTGTTTTTAGACAAATACTATTTATTTTGTTACATGAAACATGAGTTAAATGAACAATAGTTAGAATTTATTGGTATTTTTTACTTATGATTTAGCAGAAAATCACATCACCAAGTTGTTTGATACCATTGATTATTTTAATCATCATTATTATTAATGAATATATTATATTATTATTATTATTATTATTACCTAATTATTGTGCCATTCAATAAATTAGTAGGTATTTATAATAAAATAATGTGTCTCTTAAATATATTTTGTTGTAGTTATTTATTTTATTTTTACTCATTTGATAATATTAATAGTTTAATTATTTTTTAATGGTCAAAGTTACTACATTATTACAATAGATAATAATACTATAAAATATATAGATTAGTATTTATGATAAAATATATTTTGTTTGTTTGTTTGTTTTTTTTTTTTTTTTAAGTTATATAATTGTTCAAAGTTTTTAGATATTATAAATTAAACTAAATAGAGCAATTTAGATTTCTTCAATTTATATATATATTTAAATGATCATTTCATTTTTATTTTTTGGGCTAAGTATTATTATTGGCCAAAATTATGTGTATTTGTTATTAATTTTTGATTGACTTATTTACATTATAGTAAAAAATTTTATTTTCATTATTTACCATCATATTGTAGTTTATCATTTTGAAATTTGCATCTTAAAACTGTATAAGATAATATTTATCTGACTGTTTTATTTCTTAAATATTTAAATATTTATTTTCTCCAAACAATGTACCCTCATTGATAATGTTTTATGATTATCCAGTCTTGTTAAATGTTTGAATTTAATTTTACTTTTAATATTTATATTAATTATATTTATACCAATCACAAATTATTTACAACTAAACTGTTTTGTTACTTATTAAGCTTTGTATTTGTTTTCCAGTTACTTATTCAGTATTCTATCATTTTAATTTTGGATATTAAACAACTATTGATAGTGTTTAAAAAAAAAACACAATTTTTGTCTTACAAAGGCTGTCATACATTTTCCTATCCTCCAAAAATTAATTACTGTCTAAACAATTAATGTACTTCATTTTTGAAGGGACGGAAATGTTAGGTTGACGTCATTCTAACCATTTACAGTTTCTATAATTAAATTGTCATGAATCTTGAATTTTAAATTAATTTAGTACGATATTTTGTGAAAATTTCAAGAAAAATATTACTAGTGTATACCAGATTCTGAAGTGATGTCATTCGCATTTGGCATAATAAGTTAGAATTTTGAACTTTCTAGTAAATTACAAAAAAGTTATTATGGTTGATTTTTTTGTTACCAATCTTGATCACATGTTGTACAAAAATTCTGAACATGGGATGCTGATATGATATAATTATCTACAATGTTTAATGAATTCTACTATTTTAAATTGTTTAGACAAATTCTACTTCAATTTATGAAGAGTAAAACAAAATAAATAGAAATAATTTAGTAATTAATAATTTATATATTACTTATAATAAAAACATTTATTTACATAATTTAATACATTAAAAATTCAATGACTTAAAAATATGTTATGAACAGTCTAAATAATTTGCTTTTGAGAACATTTAAACTATTAATGAGTCCATCTGAAACAAACAAAAAAAAGTCATAAATAAGCAGTATCAACCAAATATTCCGATTAGTTTTTAAATTTCAGTAGAATAGAATATTATTTATTAAACAGAAGAGATCAATACTTTTTATTTTGATTGTATAAAATCTAAATTAAAATTGAATAATCTGTCATTAAAACAAAAATGAATGTGAAATGGCAAAATTAAAAATAAAACAAATATCCATCATTCATTTGATAAGATATAATTACAAATATTACTTCAAATTTGACATTTCTAAAATGTAGTACAGTGCCAGATAAAGTAGTAAAGTTAAAATATACATTTAAACAATATAAATAATATAAAAATGTATTTTAACTATAAGTTTTTTTTAAATAACAACACTTACAATCTAAGTACTTTGTCTTTTCCACCAGATGCAACTTTATGTCCATCTGGGGACCAATCAACAGCAAAAACTTCATCAGCATGACCAGGAAGATCGCCTTGTAATTTTTTGGCTTTCACATCCCATACTAAAAATATAATAATAATTGTTGTAAAAATGTTATATTAGAATTAATTAATGAAAAAAAAAAACCTTTTAATGTTGAATCTGCACTTCCACTAACTAATAGTCTAGAATCGGCTGACCAACATATCATGTAAACTGCTTGAACATGTCCTCGCATTGTTCCAAGAAATCTAAGAAAAAAATCAATTTTTATCAACACATGAATTATTTTAAAGATATGACTAAGCTTACTGTCCAGTTTTTCCATCCCATAATTTTATAGATTTGTCGAATGAAGCTGACGCAATTAACCGTGTGTCAGGTGAAAACTGTACACAATTGATCAACTGTTGATGTCCAGTCATCCTTGCTATACAAAAAGAAAAACTTTCAATTATTGTTGATATATTGTGTAAATAGATGATTATTTTGAGCAAGATTATAAAGAATTATTACCAAGAGGGTTTTTACTACTTTCAGGGGTCCACAAAAAAAGTGTGAAATCGTCTGACCCAGAAATCAAACGTTCACCTCCATTTGCAACAGCCACATCATACCGTTTTTTAGCCTCAGCTAATACATTATTAGCTAAAACAACACACATAAGCATTAAAATAAAAAATTAAATAAAGTTAACAACTTAAAAAAAGCAAATAAATAAGTATACTTTTGTCAATGTTGGAACCAGGTTGAGGTACCATTGCTGTTTTCATCACATAATCAGTACTGAGTGCAAGAGTGTTCACCCAATGACCATGGCCTTCCAACGTTCTACATAAAACGCCCTAAATGTAACATCAAAAAAAGGCTTTAAAACATTGATTAATTTTAATGTGTTAATAATTTGTTGATTATCAAATAAATAGTTAAAATTTATTTAAAATAAAATTTAGTATTAATAGTACAATGCTATATCATTAACTCAACTTATACGAGGATAGAGCAAAGTCAAAATCTGGAATACTAGAAATACTTATTAATATATTATATATTATTTTATAATTAAATTATAGCATAAGAAGGTATTAAAAACTAAGATACTTTAGGTTTAATTATTTAATGAATTTTGTTATTGGTACATTTTTTATTTTTTCAAGGAATACTCCTCCTTTTTGGCTTTGCTACATAATTTTCTCTAGCTCATGATATTGATAACACATATTCATTATTATTTATTGGTACCACAAAAATAACACTAATATTTTGTGTATATTTGCGAAATCTTGTTATACTTCGTCATAAAATTACAATACCAGTATGATCAATCTAAATCATTTAAGTATTTGCAACTTACATCATCGGCTCTCCAAACTTTAATTGTACGATCCTGTGAACTACTATACAATAAACCTGTTCCACCCCATTTTAAGCAAGTAATACTGCGTGTGTGACTAGTAAAACACCTTTTGCACTGACCAAGTATTATATCCCAAATACGGATATCTCCATCTTTACCACTACTCGCAAATCTAGAACAGTATTACAAATTTGTAGAATTGAATATGAATTTTAAAATAGAAAAAATTAAATGTCTTACTTACGTTCTACACTCAGGAGATAAATGATATGGAGCCCAACAAAGAGCAGTAATCCATTGCCTATGTCCATACATTGGTGGACCAACTCGTTTGCCAGTTTCAACATTCCAAGATATAATCATTCCATTTTTGCAACCCGATACCAAGTATTTACTATTTGGCGACCAGGCAATACACAACACCCAATTCTTATGACCTTTAATACATGTATTATAAATATGGCTAAATCAATATTAAAGTTATTACTAAGTAGCAAACCTTGACAGGTATGCAATGGTGTTTGCATGTCAAGATCCCAAAACCTAACTGTGGTGTCTCCAGATCCGCTGGCCAATTTACGACTGTCTGGACTGAATTGAACTGATATCACAGCTTCTGCGTGACCAGGCAATGAACTAGAAATATTTTACAATAACTATTAAAAATACAATAATTAACAATGTAGGCATATTTTACATTTCATATACTAACCTAGTACATCGGGTGATGGGTCGCACTTTAAACAAAGCTTGTTCTTGATAGACAATATCTACTACGAGTTCGGTGCTGAATTTTTTATTGGCGTCAAGACATTCATCCAGATTGCTAGTGATTTCTTTGTCATCGACAAAAAATGCATAGGGTACGGTCTCATCCTAAAATTGAATAGTTTTTATTAGTTTATTTGCTACGTGAAATACATTATAGAGCTTTTGAGACGCGATAGGTTCAGAAATCGGTCAATTATTACTTGTTTAAGTAACGAATTGCAAATCAGTTGTAAATGATTGACGGTAACATCTCGAGGTAGATCCATCATGTTGCTGACCGTCTCGCCCGTTTCCGACTTGAAACGGGCCAAAACCGTGCTCACTGTGTCCTCGGTCATTTTTTTAGTGGCTTTTAACAACGTCAGCCTATGAACTATACACTACACAGGATTTTAAAAAACTAGAATCTAAGTATTAGACAGTTATAGATTTTAAATTTTTTAACAACACATGTATGCTTTTGATAATAACGAAATGGAATCGGATCTGCCTGGTAGTCGGCAGTCGGCTATGATAGTGAAATTAACCTCAAAACAATTTCTTATCTAAATATGAATACAGTTTAGCCATAACATTAACGCAAAATATTTATTATGATAATAATTATTACGACGGGCAAATTGTATTTTTTAATTTGAAAGGAAAATAACTGAAAAAATGTTACATGCAACTC